AAATTAAAAAATATAAATATTAACGCAATCTTCAGATTGCTGCGCAACTATACTATACGATAGTTACAACACACAGCACAATCTTAAGATTGTACTGATAGGTAATTGCACGGAACAATAAATATTGATACTGGTAGTGTTCAACAATGAGTGTTGGTCTAGGCTACATTATATTTATTATGTGTATTTTTTTCCCTCATCGACATAATAAAATTATAATTTTCAGTTTTGAAAATATAATACCGTTGGTAGACATCACCATACTGTATTAGAAAATAAATCATATATCTTGCTCCAAGCCCTAAGATTAATTTCTTTTTCGTTCTTTCTTTATTTGATCATTTGCTTCAGTTGGGGCGGCCAGATTTTCCTTTCTGTTCATGGAGGGGCAAACGCTACCGCTACCATTTCTCTCAGCATAATTTGATCAAATCCTCCCACATCAAGTAATTATGTTTAGTTGTCTAGGTCACAGATCTGATATATATGTCTGATGAAAACAGCCAATCAGAAGTCTTAGTACACATCGTGTTGCATTCAGATCTTTTGTTTGCAAATATAGAATGCAATAGGCCAAGTGTGACTCCCGAGTCAAATTTGATAAAGCAAAACAGCAGAGGTCAACTTGGTAGTGGTGCACTGGAGGGTACATTTATCTATCCACCTTCAACAAATGTATCAAATAGGCAATGTGCACTGGTAAGCCACAGCTACCCAGCCCAAGCAATGGTGTTTCTGTTAATATTTATTAAAGTTGATGCTGTTAAAGAATAGGGCTTTTGGGGAAACCGGTCATTTCGTGACACTGTCATCTTGTCACAATCAGATCTGTTACGAAATGACTTCGCTTATATTATCGCTCCAAAATTGTATGCTTACATTGTAGAGTTTTGGAGGATCAGCGCCAGCAGTCGTTATTCCAAATCACTAATTCAAGCATGTAATCACTGAGCCTTGCCCTATTGTTTTTAAATGTAATTTAAGTCAAAAACTGCCCCCCCTCCCAACCAATAAAAACAACTCAACAGTTATATTTATTGAACGGTGTCTGATAGCTGATCAAGTAGACACGACAACTTGCACCGCCCCACATCCCGTCCTTCCGTGCACCACCCAACCCTCCCCCAAAAATCATGATTTTGCAATTGCCACGATAATGCACGTTTGATGTTTACAAGTGTATGACGAAATGACCGTCTCCATTCAACCATGTGGATTTGCAGTGTGATGAGATGACTGTGACGTCTTGACTACACTGGTGTAACGAAATGACCGTGTGACGAAATGACTGGTACTTGCGCTAGGGCATGGGCAAAACTACCCTCATCAGCTTTTTCCTGTACCTCTGTTTTCCCTTGCTCTTTACTTTAACTCTCCCCTGACCTTTCTGTGGTGTCGTTTGGTCCATTTTCCTTAATAAAATTATTGAGTATGCATGCATTTACCCCCCTAAATCAGTCACTGTATGTGTGCAAGTATTCCTGTAATGCTACTATATATGGATTTACATCATACCCCTTGCATTCAGAAAATTTGATTTTTATGGGCTGAATTTAGTGCAGGACATAATGTTACAGAAGTATGTTTTATTAGGAGATACTGTTAAGAATTTCATAGAAAATAAAAAATTCGAATGAAGTGGTGTTGAAAGAAGCCGGTATGGGGCCGTCTCTTCTAATACATTATAATTAGGGGGTGACAAAGGAAATTTCTAGACACTTCAATAACATTTACTAAAGGCCTTAAGTATCTTGCTTTCACTGGAAAAATAGAAGGCAAAAGGGGCTGAGGAAGACTGAGAATTTACTTACTATAGAGACAACTTGGGCACATGCGTGGTAGAAGAAGACCAGGATAATAGGTGTTTCTTGAGAGCATTTGAGCAGAGAAATTAATGAAAAACCATGACTGACAATGTCTGTTCAGACCTGGCGCTTGAAGAAGAAATTATGTTAGTTTTAAGGGGACGGTACAGCTATATAATGGTATACTTGGAGTTGAGAATGGTTAAGATTATATGAGAAATAAATAAAGGTATATATATATATATATATATATATATTTATAATATATCATACAGTATAACACGGATTGGTCGAACACAGAAGACTCGAAATCGTCGAACTGTGCTTACGGTCCCGTTTTTTTCTTCTTCTTTGTCTTTGTAAGATATCCCTTGAACTACCGAGGCCAGTCCCGACGAATTCGAGATAAATCCGTGTTATACTGTCTTGCTCTAGAATTTTATAACTTAGTGCATGTTGGTTAATGTGGTTTTGGTACTCCTGACTATCTGTTTTCTCTTACTGAACTTTCCAACTGCTCTATGTCTTCTCTTTGTTCACCCCTTCTCAAAGCGACTCTGAAGCACTAAATTCTCTTTCAGATTATTGAAAAATAAGTCTTGCATTTTCAATTTATTACCCTAATTTACAAAAGCGATTTATATTATTAAATATCCACATGGTACTTTTTTCCTCTGCATAGTCTGTCCGTTGAAGTATACAACAGTCAAAATTTTAAAAAGTGGCCGCTCATCGCTGAGGGAAAAGCAGTTGTCTTAGACATGCCATTATAATAATTTTTTTTAATGAAAGGGGGATGTGGGAAATGGTCATTTGTACAGGTGATGGTCTTGGACAGTTGGCAGTTAGAGCTTGTTTGACTGATAACAGCATCATTTCCCATCCAGATCTACTTTTTTGGCATATTGTGCAATTTCTCGTGAATGAAAAATAGTATTCTGTATGATTTATCATGAATTGAAATATTGCTAGCTTGAGTTTAATAAGTGAGAGCGAGATTGAGCTGGTAAAAGGACAGTGTGTTGTCTTGTGTGTCATTCTTGGCTCTTATCAGAACGACGGATTGTAGGACGTCAAGAGATGTGTGGCTCAACACCGTTGTAATCTTAGGTCCTTAACCTTTGGCTGAGAGGTTCAGAAGGTTCTGTTACATAATAAACTGTGCAGGAAAAAATTTTGAAATGTATTGTGCATAAGGTCTATGGGTAGGGAAAGGATTTTGTCCTTTTTACTGTTTTCTTTAAGCATTGTACTCATTTCTCAAGAATTGTACCGTATTTTCTTCTTCTTCTTCCTCGTTCTCGATAACAGCAGCTAGACAGTCAGTCCAATGTTGCGCTCAAACTGTGCAGTCTGCTTCAAATCTGAGAGACTGCCATAGAGCAAGTGTTGCTTTATCTTTTCCTTTGGCAAAGTTGATTAACCTGTTTAAAAAAAATTGTGATCTGTCTTGTTCTGCATAAAAGAGTATTTAAATATAAAGAAGCTAAAAAATGTTTTTATTCTTATTATTCTTATTATTCTTATTATTCTTATTCTGTACAGTGTTTCTCATGAATCCGAATATTTTTCCTTTTTCTTCTTCAGGTACATTTTTGACAATGTATTCGGCACGCAGCACTGGCAGCTTAGAGCTTGTGGACCCAGAGGCAGAAGGAGTCATCACGAAATATCCCAAACTTGTCGAATTTGAGGAAACTTTTCGGGATCCTGAGGATAACTCATCTCTGTTTAGCAGAATTCCTCTTGCTGTGAAGGGGTACTTCTCTGAATGTGATGTGACAAAATCAGTGAATAGATTTTTTCCATTTATAAAAACTATTCGAAAGTACAAAGTGAAAGAGGACCTTCCCAATGATTTGATAGCAGGAATTACTTCAGGAGTAATGATGATACCTCAGGGTATGGCTTTTGCGGCTCTGTCCACTTTGCCACCAATTGTGGGTCTGTACATCTCATTCTTCGCTTCAATTACATATTTTTTCTTGGGTACAGGCCGTCAGTTATCGTGGGGGTGCATTGCCATCCTCAGTCTTATGATTGCAACCATCCTGGACAAATACGATTCTTCTGTGGCTGGTGAGCTATCATTAGTATGTCTGAACGGAACTTTGAATGGGCAAAGTGTTCCTGACTCTTTAGGCAGCTTACCAGAAGCAAGCACTGTCGCAAACACTATA